TCGCCGGCCGACCGCTGATTGGACTCAGTTAGCGACGCCGCGCGGCGCTCACCAGATCAGATTGGGGCGGGCGACGACGCCCGCACGGACGCACGTGCACCGCCCGGCTGTCCAATCAGCCACGCTGGGCACGGCCCACGGGCTCGGCCAGCATCCGGCCGCCCACCGACACAATCAGCCGCCCGCGTCGGCCGCACCTGCACGAAGCGTGAAAGGAGCTGCGTGCCTAGCCGCGGGGCGACTAGGGGCTGCATACAGAGCTGCGAGGAGGCGGGGGGGGGGGGAGGGGGGGGGCAACGGAGCCGTGTAAGGAGCTGCGTGCCTAGCCGCGGGGCGACTAGGGGCTGCATACAGAGCTGCGAGGAGGCGGGGGGAGGGGGGGGGGGCAACGGAGCCGTGTAAGAAGCTGCGTGCCGAGCTGCGGCGCAGCGTGTGGGGATGTATAGGAGCTGGATAGAAGCTGCGTTGCGCACAAGGCCAAGTCATGAGCAGCGTACGGCACTGTATTTGGAACTGCTTATAGAGCTGTACAGCGCTGCATAAGGCGTTGGTAGCTGCGTGCGGAGTTTTAGCGGAGGCCGCGTACGGAAACGTGTCAGAAGCTGCGTACGTGCGAGCGCATGAAGCTGTGGTAGAGTTGCACATGGAGCTGTGTTGGTGGTTGTATTAGGAACAAGAGAGACACGCATGAGACCGCATTGGTAAGGGACTTCACTCTGAACCTTATTCCACTGAAGCACGGAAGGAACACCTCGAACAGCAGGGTCATCCGGCACAAATTGACCGCGGATAGGCGCACTTCAACGCAGTGCACCCTTCAAATTTGACGAGGGCGGGTCTATAAAGTAATTTTACGACCCAAAGCAAGGTTCTGCAAGTTTTAAAACCGTACGACGCATCGGCAAGAGACGAAGAGCAGATGGAAATACGCAATGGCGTCACGAACCTTATTTTCAGCTTGCTCTGGCGCAAACCGGTTACGGAACATCACGCTTGGGAAACGTGCATCGGAAAGGCGAACACCTATATTGTCTTGAAGCATGGATCAATGCAACATGAAAGGTCAACTACGTACACTGACCTCACTGGACCTGTGACCTCATTTTTTAGGAAAAAATATGGTGCCTTTGATTTCCTTTGAGCAGGTGCGTATTAGAAGACCGGGCCGGTGCTGGGTGACCGGGCGCGATCTGCTCGCTGCGTCGGAAATTGTCATCTACACCTTGAAACCACCCGGGACTCTGTAACAAGGTACCAATGAGGAACGCATTTTCATCGACCCTAAGTACCTGTCATTCATGCCGAGTCGGAGACAGAGAGCCAAATAATTATTTCCAACGACATGGTGTGTGGCAATCTAGCATCAGATCCAGAATAGCCGTTTATAGTGGATCGTAGCAAGTTGTGTTTCCGGTCATTCCTTCATGTCTTAGCCAATAATTTGTCATATTGATGTGACTGGAAACAGCAAAACGAAAGGTTCAAATCCTTGGTTGTTTGTTCTGTACCGTACGTTTTGTTACAACTAAGTCATTACAAGAAAATATTTTGGATGTTGGAACTCTTATGTTCATTGATGTGACTGCAACTGAGACATGTTTGCCCAGAGTTGATGACAACTGTAGCTTTTGCGCTCCTTCAGCGTTCGTGCGTTTTTTCCCCACTATATTCTAAACTTTGCTCCGTTCTATCCGCTGTCACATAGACGAGAAGTACGCCTATGAAAAAAGCATAAGGTTAAACTATGTGGATTACAAAACAAATCACAGGACTTTTCAAAGAAAGATAGTGTGCGCGCATATGCCAGGCAGATAAGCGTGATTGAAACTCACAATTGTGTACCTCTCCGTGTTGTGCCTCGCAGAGCATTGCACAAACTGCGTCCATAATTCACCTGTTCCCTTACCAGCAACATGCATATGCGCGGATGTGAACATATGTGACACCCGGACTTTATCCTCTTCTGAGCATTACATGTTTCCATACCCTCTCCGGGGTTTGACGGTACCCCCCCCCCCCCCCCACCCCCACCCCCACCCTTACACACACTTTGAAGCATGGGAATTTCCTATGGAAGGTCCTAAGGACGTGCAGCACACATTTAAGGCCCAAATTATCAGTATGGTGCCATATTTCGAGTAAGTTACATCTATTTTACATTGGGTTAGGGAGCAGTAGCTACAACAATGGCCTTGTTTTGCACTTGGTGGAAACTTATCAGCATGGGCAGCACCTGTTTCTGGTGAATGTATACGGCGGCCATTGAGTGGGTTTAACTATAGCTGATGATACAGAAAACTTTGCTGACTAGGTCACAAGCCGCCTTAAAAGCGTTGGTCGGCTGGTTATTTGGGCTTTAGGGCGCCCCAACTGCATGGTGATACAGCGCCCATTGATCCTGTTCTGGGCATTACTGCGCCCATGGGCGCCGTCCTGAGCCATGCCACGAATGAATGTATATTGCTCAGTCGCTTCTCGCTGAAGAGGGGCTTTCCAATGGTATTCTTAGATTACCTATTGTGCGAATAAAATAACAACTTTCTGGAAAGTCAGTGAATTATGGTCAAACGCTCCGGTACGGCTTTCGAGCCAGCACACGACTTTCCTCGTCTCTTCTTGAGCCGTTACCGTTCGAACAGCCCCCTCCAATGGCGAACAATTCATTCACGGACGCGGTGCCTTTGTCAACCCGGCAAATGAACTGAACGCATGTTCAGTATTTGTGCGGAATTATTTTGTACAAAGTACTGCATACAAATGCCACCAGTCATTCTTCACCCGATGAGCACACGCAGGCAGTTGACAGGCCAATCTCACCCTTTAAGTATTTGTATGGGCATATTAATAAAACTGTTCTACTACGAACGAACGTAAAATTGTCCAGATGTAAACATCATTATGTGCAATTGTTCCAAGGTACACCTTGGAGTCATGAGTCATGAATCAATTATGGATCGCTGGGTCATGATCCCGCGGTCCGGGCTCGCACTTCCTCATGATCCCGCGGTCCGGGCTCGCACTTCCTCATGATCCCGCGGTCCGGGCTCGCACTTCCTCATGATCCCGCGGTCCGGACTCGCACTTCCCCATGATCTCGCGGTCCGGGCTCGCACTTCCCCATGATCTTGCGGTCCGGGCTCGCACTTCCTCATGATCTCGCGGTCCGGGCTCGCACTTCCTCATGATCTCGCGGTCCGGGCTCGCACTTCCCCATGATCTCGCGGTCCGGGCTCGCACTTCCTCATGATCTCGCAGTCCGGGCTCGCACCTCCGCGGCTGAGCTCGACCCTGCTGCTGATCCGAAGCCTGTCTCCGTAGATTCTGTGGCTCAGACACGCCTGCTCGTTGACAGGATTGCACCAATATTCGAAACAGCGGATAGCTATGCTTTTCAGCAAGCCGTGTGCAATTTACCCCCAATTTCTACCAGACCCTTTAGAGAGTTCTCTAGTAACTATCGGTGATTTTGCGTACACTCCTGCTTGTTGATTGGTGCTTCGGGTCAAACGGCCCTACATGTGTCTTCAGTTTGGCACGGAAATTTTGCAAATTGTAAAAATTTAGCAAATTAAATGCTATTCATGGTGATGACAGATGGTTTGAACGACCCTCCCTGTGATATCGCTACGCAACGCAAACAGGTATTCTGTTCTTCTTCGACTAATTTCAACCGGTTCTTTTTAATGAGCATTTTGCTTGGAGGTACCAGCTGAAAGCAACAAAACTGCGCGTCTTCATTTCCTCAACCTCTCGGAAATGAGATTCTACACTCACTGACCCCCTCTTGGGCCCTGGCTTGGTTTACTTGGAGACGGTGTCGATTTGGATGCGTGCTGCATCGAATTCCATGTGTGCGGTCCCACGCGTGCTGCGCCGGCACACAAGGTGACTGCTTCGGCTCCAGGCTCTATAAGAAAATCAATAATGCAAATTTGCACCAGTTGTTCGTTTCTTCTTATGTTGAGCTCCAGCCAGGCTCCATACGGAAAACGAGAATGCAAATTTACACCAGTTGTTCGTTTCTTCTTATGTTGCGCTCCAGCTTAATATCATATAACAGTTATCGATATGCTGCGAGGACTTCGAGCGCACAACGCTGCTATCCATGCGACTCGTGATAGACAAGTACGGATGGTCGATTAATACGCACTCGTCATTCATACACTGTCCTCGAATTCCCGATGAACGTCTAAGTGACTTTGTGGCGGTACTGAGTAGCAAAAACTTTCCGCACACTTTACACTTCGTAAGCTGTTTTCACCTTATAACGAAAACACCTTATACTCCGCAAACTGTTTTCGCAACATCAAGTTGAAGAAAGGGGTTCGTGACGTCATTGCGTATTTTCATTCGCTCCTAGTTCCTAACTAGCAAGTCGTGCGGCCCTACAACTTGTAGAATTGTGTTTTGGCTGCATAATAAACCTAATGTAGATTAAAGTAGAATATACATAAGGTAGAATACGTAAGATGTAATTAACGCAAGCAGCATATAAAAATACATATAATGGAATTATAACTAATATGCAAATTTCGTAGAATTAAAACGTAGAATAACGTAAGACATATGTTCCTTAAATTTGAAGGGAGCACCGTGCTATCCTCCGGTCAATTTGTCGCGGAAGGACCCAACACTCAAATTAACACACACGAGTGCAAGACGCCGGCTACCTGGCTCTGGAGCGAGCAGGAATTTGGCAGGCACCCAGCATGCACGAGGAGTATCGGCCACACTCGCACCCGCATTCACATCCGCATCCGCATCCACCTCTGCATCCGCATCCGCATCCGCGTCCGCATCTGCATCCGCATCCGTATCCGTATCCGTATCCACATCCGTATCCGCATCCGCATCCGTAACCGCATCCTCATCCGCATCTACACCCGTACTCGCACTCAGTCAGCATCCGCGTCCAACAGCCGACGACAAACCACAGCCAAGTCACACCGCGTGCCCACATCCTCCACAGGACAGGCGACGGCCGGCGGGCCTCGACCTACCTTGGCGGCGGGGGAGACGGACGGCCAGGTGCCGGAGCTGAAGTCGGGCCGGCCTTCGCCTATCCGGCGCAGGATCGCCGCCGGACTGTCGTCCTCGCTGCTGGCGAACGGCGTCCTCCTGTCGGGCACGGCCGGCGCGCTGTCAGCGCCCATCAAGCCCGCGCCACACAGCAGCCAGTGCGAACGCTCAGGGGGCCGACGTACAAACGGCGACTTCTGTCGCTAAGCGAAGTGAACATAAGTTAATGCAGCACATCCACCCTATGTGCCGAGCATGTGCGAGCAGACACAGTCGTTAAGATCAAGTTGATGGGGCAATGGGGAGAAGCTTCGATACCAAACTGTTCACATGTACTATGCTGTGCGACTCATGGAAAGGACGACCTCTTGCTAGTAAGGACATTCAAGGCGTGTAACACTGACGTAACACACACCAAATACGATATGCATAATGGGCAACTGGCCTGCTGGCCTGTACCACCCCTAGCTTGGATGAAATGCGCATGCGCAGAACAGCATCTAGCATCTCGTACCTTGACCTCATCATCTTTTCGGTGGTCGCCTTCATGCAGCGATACACACACGCACGCACGCACGCACGCACGCACGCACGCACGCACGCACGCACGCACACACACACACACACACACACACACACACACACACACACACACACACACACACACACACACACACACACACACACACACACACACACACACACACACACACACACACATATATTTTTATTATATATATATATATATATATATATATATATATATATATATATATATATATATATATATATATATGGTTTTAAAGCGCAGCGACTGCAATCGTTAACTGCGCCCCACGATCGAACACCCTGGCTCCCAGTCAGCGCGAGCTAGCCTTTTGTTTGGGTGACCAGAGTAGCAGTCGCTTGCCAGCGGCCACAGGCGACAAACCGGAGCGGCCGGCTGGCGGAAACGCCCAACTTCCGGCAACATGGGCCGTCGCCGGCCCACTGTGGCCGTTTGTCCGCTTCGCTGTCGCGCCGCCGACGCGCTCACCGTGGCCAGACCGATTGACAACTCTCAACGGGAAAACACCGGCCGAGAAACGACGACAAAACCGGGCGGCCACGGCGAGCTGTGCCCGGCCGGCGCGGCTGCTCACCGTCCGCTGCACTGGTGCGACCGCGAGGGCCCGCAGAGCGTCCGAGGAGGGCGCCGAAGACAGAGCACGAATGAACAGCAATCACAATTTAGTGGTCAATAATGATGATGCTTGTAGTTGTATGGCGTACCGAAGTCGGAGTTCGTTTTCACCATAAGGAGCGTATAATTGACGATGAGTTGCAAAATTCGTCGTTCTTTGATTTCAATTGCTATCATGAAAATTGGGCCAAAGACGTTTAAATCTGCCAAGCTAACAACCCACACTTAAAGAGAATGCTCCGAATTTAAAGATATCGGAGCAAGCACCATGCGTCATGAAAAAAGCCCATATATAACTGTTGGTTCCAAATTTAAAGATATTGAAGCATTGAAGCAAACATCATGTCTCAAAAAATAAGCCCATATATAACTATTGGTATTTTATGAGTGGAAAAGACTGCTCTAGACAACACAACTTCTCTGTTAAGTCAGCACGCTCCTCAATGTGTCAGTGTTTGATTGTGTCATCGCACCTTGTACAACAATGACTGCTAGCCAATACAGTTGTTATATCTAGAAATAGCGCCCATGAACGCCAGATACGAGCGATTCGACAACTAAACCTTGCTTGGCCTTGATCGCAGCATGACTAATGGAAGGCCACATGATGACGTTATTATGGCGTCATGGATACCTGGGTGAGCTTGAAATGGTCTCCACGAAATAGTCTGCACATCGTCATGGGCGATTAGTTCAGAAACTAGAGGGGCTTGCGCAATAAGGACAGGGCTGTAAACAGCACCGCATGATCATCAAGATGGCTATTTCGGTTCAAAATCACGCTAATATGTGGAATACTATCTTTCAGGTCCGTCATGTATGAATTAGGTCTGAATGAGACCATCAGGTCTCGCACCATGAATTCGGCTGCCAAAGCGTGAGCCCGCGAGACAGTACTTTGGATACCCGGCAACACTCAGACCCCCACTGCCCGTCTGAGCACCACGGTGAACGAGTGAAGCGCTATTGGTTGGCCACCTGGTCCCACTGGCTGGCGGCTCTTGGCAAATCGGATAAAACGACAGCCGATTGGTCGACAGCGTTTCTTTCGTGGCGTCTCTGGGACGTTGTTCCGCGGTATCGGGGTATCCGGGACGTCATCCCGTTGTATCGGGGTATCGGGGGCATCGTCCCGTTGTATCGGGGTATCAGGGTATCGTCATCCCGTTGTATCGGGGTATCGGGGGCATCGTCCCGTTGTATCGGGGTATCGGGGACGTCGTCCCGTTGTATCCGGGTATCGGGGACGTCGTCCCGGAGTATCGGGGTATCGGGGACATCGTCCCGCAGTATCGGGGTATCGGGGACGTCGTCCCGTTGCATAGGGGTATCGGGGACATCGTCCTGTTTTGTTCCGTTCATCCCGCCCATTGTAGCATGACAACAATGAAATCTCGCACAGAAATAGAATGTCATACAAAGGGCAAAAACCACAACGAGAAAATGGAACTAGAGGATCCTGTGCAATATGCATTACCCCTAACACTAGGGGTAATGCATATTCACACAATAGGGGTAATGCATATTACAATAGCGTAACACCCTGAATCTCCAAATGCACTGCGTCCTTTATTCGTGGCGCGCGCCGAGTCTTTCCAAACGTCATATTCGGGAAGTTTGGAGACGCGTCCGTTCCCTGCATCTGACGCGCCTCCGACCAATCATCAGTCAGCGGCAGTTTCCGTACCACACCGCCGTCGCGTGGAGCCGGCTGCCCGCAGCCACCGTCCGCGCCCGCTGGCGCCGGAAATCCTTGATTATGTAAAATGATAACTCGTTCAATCGGATTTACTAGTGTTTATATGAACAGATCTCTGTGTGGTGTTTCTTTTTTCTACGGCTATGCGCAGAACAGCCACCACGTGGATGCACCTACAACAAAATCAATGCGAATGTTGATGTGAATGGGCATCTAAACCTCACAAATCGATTCTAGGGTCGGAGCCATGGTTCCCAGAATCCCAGTCTTGCGCGAACGACCCCATTTCAAATAGTGTCGAGCAGTCCTTTCGCGTCCGGGATCTTTTTCGCAATTTTGCCGATGCATTCTCGAACCCCAAATAGTTCCCAAATCTGAACAAAAATCCGAACGCCAAATTTGGAATTTTGTTAAAAAACTTAAAAATCAAGGATGTCTGCTTGCTGCATTTCCTTATATACATGGACTGGAAACACAAAGGACGAGTCATATACATAAATCGTTCTAAATGAAACAATATTGGATGCTTTATTTGCCAGAAACCCATCCGTAAATTATTGGCGCGAAACATGTACGCGGACCTGGCTGGTTCCTCTTCATTTCATAATTTCACGGAGCAACTGCATCTGACGCTGAGATACTTGACTTCTCATACTTCACCGCACATCTATATCAGCCCCACTAGCGCAGCATCTGACCATCGCCAATGACTTCGCAACAGCGTCGCCATCACTCCGGGTACGATCCTTGCAATGCAGGGGTTTTGTCTCCCATCTATTTTCCCCAAATCCACGTGTAATCCCCCTTGCCTCCTCACACCGCCCACCTCCCCCGGCGGGCGCCGATCGCGCCGTCTCCTCTCCCACGCCCCTGCAGGATGGCCAAAGCATGCCTCCTCCGTCTGGCAGAGGGGTAGGGGCGCGGGGGGACAGTAGGGAACTGCCGCCTCCTCCGTCTCTGTGAGGCGAGGCGCCAATTGTGGTTGGCGATCGCGTTCGTCGGAGGGCTACCATGACCGGGGTGGTGATCAGGCTGCCACGTGTCCGGAGACAGACTGCTGCTGCAGGCCGAGGCCGGTCCCGGTCCCGGCCCCGGCCCGCCGGCCAGCCCAGCCTCCGACCGGTTCTGGCAGCCCGGCGTGCGGGGGCGGACCGGAAACGACGGCGGGGTGGCCGTCTCGTCTCCCCTCCGGAGTGGTTGATATTGGGGGCGTGGTGGGGGGGGGGGGGGGCGCCAACGGAAATGGACAGTGCAGGCGCCCCCCCCCCCCCCCCCCACCTACACCGACACCTACACATACATGAACAGCTGATACCACACAGGCCCTGCTGACACCAGAAAGAAAGACAGCTAGCACCGAACAGACAGCTGATACCAGACAGGCCGTGACACTGGCTAACATGAAAAACGCCTGCTAACGCCGGGAAGGTCCATCTGATGCTTAACGAGTCCAGCTATTGTGCTAGATCGACACTGACATCAGACTGGTGAACACAACATACCAGCCCTGCTCACACCAGACACAGACAAGGATTGCTGCCAGGCTCTGCTCACACCAGACGAAGACGGAAGACGGCTGTCAGGTTCCGTTCACGCCAGACACAGACGGAGGACGGCTGCCAAACCCTGCTCACATCACACGCAGACAGAGGACGGCTGCCAGACCCTGCTCACGCCGGACACAGACGGCGGACGCCTGCCAGACCCTGCTCACGCCAGACACAGACGGAGGACGGCTGATAGACCCTGCTCACACCAGACACAGACGGGGGACGGCTGTCAGACCCTGCTCACACCAGACACAGACGGAGGACGGTTGAGAGACCTTGCTCACAATGGACGGCGGAGCCCGACAGCGTAACTCCCCAGTCGCAGTCAGTCATCGGGTGGCTTCCGAGTGGGAGTGCCGTTACAGGCCAGGGTAGCGACTCCATCCCTCCGGCGCACCCTGAACCTCCTCTCCCCCCCCCCCCCCCCCCCCCCCGCTTCACGCAATCCTGCGCCACCGAAGGGCAGCACGACAGGGTGCGGAGCAGTCAACCGCCACAGCCGCGCTGGCCCGGCGATCATGCCAAACCGACCACGTGCCAGGCTCTTCTGAGCAACGTCAGAGATCTGCAGCGCTCGGCCTTCGCCAATTTCTGTTTTCCTAGAAGACGTTTACTGTTAAACGCCCCACACATACGCCACAAGACCGCTAACGCCGCTTAGATGTCG